GGGGGGGGGGGGGGGGGGGGGGGGTCAGTTGCCGACTGAGGTTAAACCATGACAATGGTAATTTAGTGCATGTTCCTTTAATATTTGTCTAACAGTTTATGTACTTTCTTCTTTGCTGACGTTAGGTTTATGGCATGGTACATTAGTGTAAGAGACATTCAGGAACACATTATCTCCATGGAAGGGAGTTCTTTCAGATTACAGAAGGAAAATCCATTGCCCCTGCTTCTTGGTATATCTTCTGTTGCAGTAACAGATGGGTACATCATGTGGTGTAGCAATGGGAAGAGTTTAATGAAGGCGATACTAATAATTACTATTGGTTATGTTCAATATGTGCTACTACTGCAATGCTGTTGGCAATGACATTCTGAAAGTGCAGCCAAAAAAAGCTTTGTTCTTGTGGTGAAGGGTTACGGTGCCTTCTGCCAGAGGAAGCGAGTGTTAGAGGCGGGGGGGCTCTTGCAAACAGCTTGCTATCTCTCTTTAATTTCATCTCCTACCCTCTTCCCTCCCCCAAAGAGAGACAGCCAAACTGTCCAAAGTGAAGGCCAAGGAAGGTGAGAGAATACAGTCATTCAAGTTGTCTTGCCAAGGGTAGCACTGTAGGCCAATACTGAAATGAAGTAGAGAAATGAAAGACGACTTGATTGTGCTGATAAATTTACCAGAAGCTGTCCAAGCCTGGTGGGACCATGTTAGCCCCACACAATGCTAAGCTGGGGCACTGATTGTCCGCAGCTTCTAAGCAGTGCTTGCTGGTGGTGGCATTCACCAGCCTTTGGTCTGCCCAAGTGCAGAGAGTGAACATTCCCATCTGCTTACAAAAATATAGCATTAGGCTCTCATTCAGAAATGAGGATCCACAGGGACTGCAACTAATCTTTTGGTGATACTAACCATTCCCTTCTCTTGTTAAGAAAAGTCTAAGCTGATGCAGTTTGCAGTGGGAATTCATCATCTGATATGTCTAATCACTCGACAGCTAGTGCTGCAGAGGGTAGAGCGTGATAGCACTTGTCACTAATTTTCAGTGACCCTCCTCTGCTACTTCCTATTACACGAGTATGCTGAACCATAGTCCACGGCACATGGTGATTCAGCTGGTCTCTTTGCAGTGCTACTGTGGAAGTGGAATGGTGTGAGAAGCTGCATCTTGTGAGTACATTACCTTTTCTAAAAGTACTTGCTTGGCCCCTGGAGAGGAAGCAGGAGGTTTTCATTGCTTTAGCAGTCTAGTAGGCTGCTTAATCTGGAAGAAAGGTGTGCAAGTAGTCAGCTACTAGGAGCATAGGAATTAAAAAAAAAAAAAACAACCCAAAAACAAGCCCTCCTGGGTCACTGGGTCCAATCTCCTGCTGTCAGAGGCCCACTTAATGTCACCAGCTGACCAAACTCCATCTTAAAGTAGGTCGGTTTCCCTCTTGACTCTCCAGTCCACTGGCATGCCAGGCCTAATGGTTGGATAGCTGCTTCTGATTTCTGATCTAAATTTATTCACAGTCAGTTTTCACCCATTTATTCCTGTTCCAGAACTGCCTTCTATCTGAAATAGCACTCTTCGCTGATGTTTACTGCCCTGACCTATTTATAGGCAGCAGTCCCTTCTCCACCTTTGTTTACTAGGCTACACAAACCAGCTTTCTTTAGTCTCCTGTTATAAGCTCTCTGTTGCCATGGTCCCTCTTCTCAAGTCATCTTCCAGTATTTCATGAATGTGGTTAGTCAGATTCATGTGCAATGTTTCAGCCTTGTGCAATGGCATCAGTTGTCCCCAAACTGATGAATGAATTGCTGCTTTTGCAACTCAGAATGTTCTCTCGTGTGCTGCTCTCATTTTCTTTAATATTGTGTTGTAATATGTCAACATTTTG